GCCAGTATCCAAACCAGTCAGCCTGCCGTCTGAGAACCCGCCTTCCGTTGTTCAGCCTGGTGCCCCGGCGCCCGCAATTCAGCCTGATGCCCTGATGCCTGATGACCCAGTGTACGCTTCCCGGCCTAATGTTGCTTCCCGGCCTATTGTTCCTACCCAGCCTGATGTTTCTACCCAGCCTGATGTTCCTACCCAGCCTGATGACCCTGTGTTCGTGATCCCAGCCTGATGACCCGATCCAGCCTGATGATCCTACCCAGCCTGATGATCCTATCCAGCTTGATGACCTGGTGCCCGCTACCCAGCCTGATGGCCCGTTCCAGCCTAATGGCCCGATCCAGCCTGATGACCCGTTCCAGCCTGATGACCCGTTCCAGCCTGATGACCCGATCCAGCCTGATGACCCGATCCAGCCTGATGACCCGATCCAGCCTGATGACCCGATCCAGCCTGATGACCCGGTGTTTGTGATCCAGCCTGATGACCTGCCTGATCCAGCCTGGTGCCTCGGTGCCCGTGGTCCAGCCTGGTGCCTCAGTGCCCGTGGTCCGGCCTGGTGCCTCAGTGCCCGCTGTCGTGCCTGGTGACTCGGTGCCCGCTGTCGTGCCTGGTGACTCGGTGTCCGCTGTCGAGCTTGGTGACTCGGTGCCCGCTGTCGAGCTTGGTGACTCGTTGCCCGCTGTCGTGCCAGATGATTCGATGCCCGCTGTCGTGCCAGTTGACCCGGTGCCCGCTGTCGTGCCAGTTGACCCGGTGCCCGCTGTCGTGCCAGTTTACTCAGTGCCCGCTGTCGTGCCAGTTTTCTCGGTGCCCGCGTGCCAGTTTGTCTGCCCGCTGTTGCCAGTTCACTCGGTGCCCGCTGTCGAGCTTGGTGACTCGGTGCCCGCTGTTCTGCCAGATGACTCGGTGCCCGCTGTCGTGCCAGATGACTCGGTGCCCGCTGTCGTGCCAGATGACTCGGTGCCCGCTGTCATGCCAGTTTACCCGGTGCCCGCTGTCGAGCTTGGTGACTCGGTGCCCACTGTTCTGCCAGATGACTCGGTGCCCGCTGTCGAGCTTGGTGACTCGGTGCCCACTGTCGAGCTTGGTGACTCGGTGCCCGCTGTCGAGCCAGATGACTCGGTGCCCGCTGTCGAGCTTTGTAACTCGGTGCCCCTGCTCTTCTGCTAGATGACTCGTGCCTGCTGTCGTGCCAGTTGACTCGGTGCCCACTGTCTAGCTTGCTGACTCGGTGCCCGCTGTCAAGCTTGGTGACTCGGTGCCCGCTGTTCTGCCATATGACTCGGTGCCCGCTGTTCTGCCAGATGACTCAGTGCCCGCTGTTCTGACAGATGACTCGGTGCCCGCTGTCGAGCTTGATGCCTCGGTGCCTGCTGCCTCGCCTGATGGCCCGGTGCCTGCGGCTCCGCCTGATGGCCCGGTGCCCGCTGCCTCACCTGATGGCCCGGTGCCCGCTGCCTCGCCTGATGGCCCGGTGCCTGCTGTCAAGCTTGGTGACTCGGTGCCCGCTGTCGAGCTTGGTGACTAGGTGCCCGCTGTTCTGCCAGTTGACTCAGTGCCCGCTGTCGTGCCAGTTGACTCGGTGCCCGCTGTCGTGCCAGTTGACTCGGTGCCCACTGTCGAGCCAGATGACTCGGTGCCCGCTGTCGAGCTTGGTGACTCGGTGCCCGCTGTCGAGCTTGGTGACTCGGTCCCCTCTGTTCTGCCAGATGACTCGGTGCCCGCTGTCGTGCCAGATGACTCGTGCCCTGTCGTGCCAGATGACTCGGTGCCCGCTGTCGTGCCAGATGACTCGGTGCCCGCTGTCGTGCCAGATGACTCGGTGCCCGCTGTCATGCCAGTTGACCCGGTGCCCGCTGTCGAGCTTGGTGACTCGGTGCCCGCTGTTCTGCCAGATGACTCGGTGCCCGCTGTCGAGCTTGGTGACTCGGTGCCCACTGTCGAGCTTGGTGCCTCGGTGCCCGCTGTCGAGCCTGATGGCCCGGTGCCTGCGGCTCCGCCTGATGGCCCGGTGCCCACTGCCTCACCTGATGGCCCGGTGCCCGCTGCCTCACCTGATGGCCCGGTGCCCGCTGCCTCGCCTGATGGCCCGGTACCCGCTGCTCCGCCTGATGGCCCGGTGCCCGCTGCCTCGCCTGATGGCCGGTGCCTGCTGCTCCGCCTGTTGGCCCGGTTGACCACTCTCCCGCCTGCTCCTGGTACCTTGTTTGCCCGTTTGCTACCGACCCGTCCTGCCCGACTACGTTTGTTGTATGTATGTATGGTTGTTTGTTGGAGGTTTGGTTTTTTGCACTGTGTTATGTTTTGCACTGCGTTTATGTATTGTTAGTGTCAGGAATGGACTGGCCAGCAATGGTGGGACTCACCTGCCTTTTGATCTGCAGTACCAGGGCTGGCCAGCGGGTGCTCCCAGCAATCAGAGACTCAACCTTTCAGCCAGCTAACACCTGGAACTGATGATACTGGTGTATTTAAGGGATGGCCAGACTTGCAGACTCTGCCTTGGTGTTGTGTTTGTCCTGGGCCCTGTATCTGTCCTGCATCCTGTTTCTGTTCCTTTGCTACCTGTTCTGATCCCTGGCTTGTGACCCTGACCATCCCTCTGCCTGACCCTCTGTACTACGCTGCTTGCTACCTGCTGAACCTGGCCTGTGACCCCGACCATTCTCCGCTTGCTCCCCCTGTACCTACCTGCCCAATTGATATTGACTCGGCCTGCCTGACGACGCTTGCTTGTATGTACTGTTATCTGTGGGTGGTTGGTTGGGTTTGTTTGCACTGTATTATGTTTAGTATTGCACTGCGTTTATGTTTGTATTGTTAGTGTTAATAAATTACATTGTTAATCACATATCTGGAGTCTGCGTTTCCCTGCTTCAGTCACACACCTCTGGTCATACCTGGGAGCCCTGACATTACACCAAGGCCAATCCTGACCAGAAGTGGCTGCACAGGGAAGCCATCTTGGCTTGTTGATGGGAAGGATGGATCTGGATGAGGTTGCGTATTTATATCTGCTAGTGTTTGATGACAGGGAGTATGCTTATCAAACTCTGAAGGAGTATACCCGGGATGAACTGCTAGAATGTATACGGCTCGCTCATGTTCTAGTAGATCAGGGCACAGAGTTCTCTGAGGTGCAGCCTTTGATTGAGGTTTGTGCAGAGTTGGTTTCATCTGGTACCCCCGAATGCAGGGATGAATTTTTGCCACCATTTAGTGCAGACCAGGTAGAGTCCCTGGTGTGGTTATTAGAGGGATGATGTGGGTTACTTTCTGGAGCGTTATTCCACATGTTCACCACAGACACTAAGAGTTTGTATAAACGCAGTGCAGTCATTGACCAGACAGGCTTTGTGTAAGCTCAGCTTTGTTCAACCCATACTGCAGACATGGACAGACTTGTTGCACCCAGCCTCAGTCAGCTTACAAAAACCCAGTCCTGCTTCTAACTCTACTCCTGTATTCCCCAACAGCTCCTCCAGTTACAGCCCAGTATACTTGGCTATCTACCGCATGTCAGTACCCTGTTCCCACTCGCTGCACCTATCCTGCCTTTAACCCTGTAAAAAAGCCCTCTGTAGCAACTGCTGCTCCCTCTCCTGTTCCATCCTCCAGTTCTTCTCTGTCTCCAGCTGCTCTCCATTCGTTTGCAGACCTGCGTTTACTTGCAGTGCTCCAGTAGTTAAAACCAGAAAAAAGCGAAAATTCTTTCCAACCAATACCACCTGCCAGTATCCAAACCGGTGAGCCTGCCTTCCGTGGTTCAGCCTGAAGCCTCTACTCAGCCTGAAGCCTCTACTCAGCCTGAAGCCTCTACTCAGCCTGAAGCCTCTACTCAGCCTGATGCCTGTACTCGGCCTGATGCCTGTACGCAGCCTGATGCCTCTCTTCAGCCTGATGCCTGTATGCAGCCTGATGCCTCTCTCAGCCTGATGCCTGTATGCAGCCTGATGCCTCTACTCGGCCTGATGCCTCTACTCGGCCTGACTCTACTCGGCCTGAAGCCTCTACTCGGCCTGAATGCCTCTACTCGGCCTGATGCCTCTACTCGGCCTGATGCCTCTACTCGGCCTGAAGCCTCTACTCGGCCTGATGCCTCTACTCGGCCTGATGCCTCTACTCGGCCTGAAGCCTCTACTCGGCCTGATGCCTCTACTCGGCCTGATGCCTCTACTCGGCCTGAAGCCTCTACTCGGCCTGAAGCCTCTACTCGGCCTGAAGCCTCTACTCGGCCTGAAGCCTCTACTCGGCCTGAATGCCTCTACTCGGCCTGAAGCCTCTACTCGGCCTGATGCCTCTACTCGCCTGATGCCTCTACTCGGCCTGATGATGCCTCTACTCGGCCTGATGCCTCTACTGACGGCCTGAAGCCTCTGATCGGCCTGAAGCCTCTACTGAGCCGGACTGTCGTGCATTCACCTGAAGCCGCTACCTGCATGATGAACTCTGATCCACTGCCTTGCCCTATTAGTGCCCAGTTGACTCAATGCCCGCTGTTGATCCAGATGACCCGGTGCCCGCTGTCATGCCCCTGGTCGTGCCAATTGCCCGACTGAGCCCGCTGTCGTACCTGCCTGGTGACTCGGTGCCCACTGCCTTGCCAGATGACGCGGTGCCCGCTGGCGAGCCAAATGACCTGATGCCTGGTGACCCAGTGCCCGCTGTCATACCTGGTGACCCGATGCCCGCTGTCGAGCCAGACAATCCAATGCCTGGTGACCCGGTGCCCACTGCCTTGCCAGATGACGCGGTGCCCGCTGGCAAGCCAAATGACCTGATGCCCCTGTGACCCAGTGCCCGCTGTGATACCTGGTGACCCGATGCCCGCTGTCCAGCCAGACAATTCCGGTAATGTCTGACCCAGTGCCCGCTGTCGTGCCAGTTGACTCGGAGCCCACTGCCTTGCCAGATGACGCGGTGCCCGCTGTCGAGCCAAATGACCTGATGCCTGGTGACCCGATGCCCGCTGTCCAGCCAGACGATTCAATGTCTGACCCAGTGCCCGCGGTCATGCCAGTTGACTCGGAACCCACTGCCTTGCCAGATGACGCGGTGCCCGCTGTCGAGCCAAATGACCTGATGCCTGGTGACCCGATGCCCGCTGTCCAGTCAGACGATCCAATGTCTGACCTAGTGCCAGCGGTCATGCCAGTTGACTCGGAGCCCACTGTCGTGCCTGGTGACTCGGTGCCCGCTGCTCCGCCTGGGGGCCCGAGACCTGTCGCTCCGCCTGGGGGGTCCAGCGCCCGCCGCTCCACCTGGGGGTCCGGCGCCCGCCGCCCCGCCTGGGGCCCGAGACCTGTCGCTCCGCCTGAGGGCCCGAGACCTGTCGCACCGCCTGGGGGTCCGGCGCCCGCCGCTCCGCCTGAGGGCCCGAGACCTGTCGCTCCACCTGGGGGTCCGGCGCCCGCCGCTCCGCCTGAGGGCCCGAGACCTGTCGCTCCACCTGGGAATCCGGCGCCCGCCGCTCCGCCTGAGGGCCCGAGACCTGTCGCTCCACCTGGGGGTTCGGCGCCCGCCGCTCCGCCTGAGGGCCCGAGACCTGTCGCTCCACCTGGGGGTCCGGCGCCCGCCGCTCCGCCTGGGGGCCCGAGACCTGTCGCTCCGCCTGGGGGCCCGAGACCTGTCGCTCCACCTGGGGGTCCGGCGCCCGCCGCTCCGCCTGAGGGCCCGAGACCTGTCGCTCCACCCGGGGGTCCGGCGCCCGCCGCTCCGCCTGAGGGCCCGAGACCTGTAGTTCCGCCTGGGGGTCCGGCGCCCCGTCTCCGCCTGGGGGCCCGATGCCTGTCGCCCCGCCTGGGGGCCCGATGCCTGTCGCCCCGCCTGGGGGCCCAATGCCTGTCGCCCCGCCTGGGGGCCCGATGCCTGTCGCTCCACCTGGGGGTCCGGCGCCCGCCGCTCCGCCTGAGGGCACGAGACCTGTCGCTCCACCCGGGGGTCCGGCGCCCGCCGCTCCGCCTGAGGGCCCGAGGCCTGTAGTTCCGCCTGGGGGCCCGATGCCTGTCGCCCCGCCTGGGGGCCCGATGCCTGTCGCTCCATCTGGGGGTCCGATGCCTGTCGCCCCGCCTGAGGGCCCGAGGCCTGTCGCTCCATCTGGGGGTCCGGCACCCGCCGCTCCGCCTGAGGGCCCGAGACCTGTAGTTCCGCCTGGGGGCCCGATGCCTGTCGCCCCGCCTGGGGGCCCGATGCCTGTCGCCCCGCCTGGGGGCCGATGCCTGTCGCCCCGCCTGGGGGCCCGATGCCTGTCGCTCCACCCGGGGGTCCGGCGCCCGCCGCTCCGCCTGAGGGCCCGAGGCCTGTAGTTCCCGCCGGGGGGTCCGGCGGCGCTCGCCGCCGCCCCGCCTGGGGGCCCGATGACTGTCGCCCCGCCTGGGGCCCGATGCCTGTCGCCCCGCCTGGGGGCCCGATGCCTGTCGCCCCGCCTGGGGCCCGAGGCCTGTCGCTCCATCTGGGGTGTCCGGCACCCGCCGCTCCGCCTGAGGGCCCGAGACCTGTAGTTCCGCCTAGGGGCCCGATGCCTGTCGCCCCGCCCGGGGGCCCGAGGCCTGCCGCCCCGCCCGGGGGCCCGGTGCCTTCCGCTCCGCCCGGGGGCCCGGGGCCTGTGCTGCCGCACCGCCCGGTGGCCCGCTGCCTGCCGCTTCGCCCGGTGGCCCGATGTGCCTCTGCCCGGGGTCCTGCCCGATGTGCCTCTGCCCGGGGTCCAGCCCGATGTGCCTCTGCCCGGAGTCCCAGCCCGATGTGCCTCTGCCCGGAGTCCAGCCCGGTGTGCCTCTGCCCGGAGTCCAGCCCGGTGTGTGCCTCTTATCTGTGGGTCCAGCCCGGGTTGGTTGGGTTTGTTTGCACTGTATTATGTTTAGTATTGCACTGCGTTTATGTTTGTATTGTTAGTGTTAATAAATTACATTGTTAATCACATATCTGGAGTCTGCGTTTCCCTGCTTCAGTCACACACCTCTGGTCATACCTGGGAGCCCTGACAGTTAGTCTTTAATAAATTGTATTATTTATACTATACCGGAAGCATCTCCCTGTGTCAGTCGTAACATTTCTGGTCATACCCAGATTCCTGACAGCTGCTTAAACTAAGGCTGACAGCATGTATTCTACCTCTCTAAACTTCTTTCTGTTATCTCTCTGTTGTGGTATTGCTCTCTGTATTTATGTTTTTATAAATTATATATATATATATATATATATATTATATATATATATATATACTATAAGCTACATCTTTTTCTGTATATACTGTTATTGCACCATTTTGACCTTTTTAGTAAATCTTATTTTCTGAAAAGTGTTGAACTGTTTCTAAAGCTCTTTAATGCAAACTAAGAATCCCTGTCTCTGAAGAGCGCTACTGTGTGTTTTTTAAAAACTTCTGCATACATCTGTCTGCGGTGACAGTGTGTATACAGACGCTTATTCAAACATCATAGTATTACTGCTAAGATTGGCGAGTTTCCTCCTTCTCCGTACAAAAAGGCGTTGGTGGCAGTGTGAAGGGTTAACTGCGTAATTAACCTGATCCAGTAACAATCGCTCTCAGGCTGTGGTACATAGATTGTGGTCCATTAGCTGGAAAATCTTTGTGCAGGGTGCAGCTGAGCGTGGTATTGTTACGCACGTGACAGCGCGGTTTTAGATTGGTCAGTCCTTCGGTCACGAGTTGGTGAGAAGGGCTGGGGGTCTGACGCCGCATCCGTCACACCCCCCTTCCCATCTGTGCTGTCATTTGGTGCAGCACAATCGGTCAGCAGGTCTGGGGCAATGATTTATGGCCAGGACCTGCTGATTCTCTTAGTGAATCACATCACAGAGCCCTGTGTTTACTAACAACAGAGGGCTCTGTACAGAGAGTAAAATCAGAACTTTACACACTTTACACATTGTTAGGCACACAGTTTATCCTTTCATTGCACCTAGATGTTAACCCCTTCCCAGCCAGTGTCATTAGTAAAGTGACAATGTATAGCATTAGCACTGATCACTGTATTAGTCTGGGCCTAGACGCCGTGCGGCCGCATATTCGCGTACAGGTAACAAAAAAAAAAACATATGTGCTGAGAGCGCGCGCCATGCGCGCTCCCAGCACACATGTCCGCTACTCACGGAAAGGTCCCGGTCTGCTTTTTCGATCGGGACCTTTCCCGACCATGTAACCACCGTGACGACGTGTCGCGGCAATCACATGATCCCGAAACCCCGCCCCGCCGCCTCCTGGCTTCTGAAACTCTTAAAGGGCCCGGAGGCGCCGGCGGGAAGGGGTTAAGTTATATGCTGATTGGCTACCATGTACAGCTGCACCAGATTTTGCACTCTCCAGTTGTAGTAAATCAACTCCACTCTGTTCAGCATACATAGGCATTTACAGGCATACAAAGAGGAGCATTTACAGGCAGACAAAGAGAAAACATCACTTGCACATTCAAGAGAGGAGCTTTTGGGCAGAAAAAACACTTTAACAAACACTGTTCTGGGGGTTTTGGGACATCCTAGTAGTGTACCACTACCAATAGGAAATGATGGGCTTGAAACCCACAGTATCTTATAGTGCCGGATGGAGTCGAATAGGGCTGTTATCCAAATTTGAAATGTTCTTTGAAGCCCCATTTTTGTAAAGTAAATTGCATTTAATGCTAGGATAGACTGTGAAGTACTTTTTCTATGTTCACTGAAAGGTGCAACAGCTCTTGCGTGCGAGTGTGAGCTATGCGAATTGCAACAGCTCCTATGTGTGAGTGTGAGCAATGCAAATTAAGTTGAATATTTTCTGAATGTTATCACTAACTTGTCTCAATGGTATACATCTAGTTTGGCCACAATGGTTTAATCCACCTAGGCTCCTTTCACAAGAGCGTTCCAATGGGGTCCGCATGTCTATTTTTCAGGTTGACTGGATCAGACCCTCAATTCTGCACTATGGAGCGGCAGGTGTAAACAGACTTGTGTTCATTTACACCCGCCTACCTCCAATCAGATTCCACAAAAACAAATGGAAGGGGATTCATTGCCCTCCGTCTGGGTGGATCGGATCAGAGGGCAGTTGGGTGTGGTTGGGCAGCCATTTACACCCAACCGCCCAAAAAGCAGAGTGGGCTTGTCTCAGTCCACTCTGCATAAGCGGACATGGACCTATTATCCGCCTGCTCTTCTCAGCAGGGGTTTGGCAGATATATCCCCTGCTGAGCAAGCAGATCGCATGGGAAAGGCCCCATGTGAAAGGGGTCTTAGGTGGGTATTTAGTCAATGGGCTATAACTTTGGTAATTATTTTTAGACCTATAAAAGTGTCACCCTTCCCCGCACCCCCATAGCAATGCCACTGCTTTTAAGAGACATTTCATAGGTGGTAAAAGCAAAGCTATATCAACCCTGGCCACCTGTTTTACCCTGTAAATGTCGCACCTTATAGACACACAGAGCAGGCTTGGGAGCGAGCATGCATGAGTGCCCCCATTGCAAGACACTCAGTGAGGGGGAGGGGCCAGGAGCACTGGCAGGGAACCCGAGAACAGGGAGGATAGGGACTACTCTATACAAAACCACTGCACTGACCAGGTAGGTAGAACACGTTTGTTATTTTAAAAATAAATAAATAGGTTTAAGAAGGACCCCCTCCCCCAAGGTGCAGTAAAAACACAGCTCAGCTGCTTGATTATGCCTCTCCCCGTCTGCAAGTGTAAGCAAGCCCTTAAACAGTCATACATGAGCTCTGGAAGTGGTTGAGCTGTACAGAGCAATAACTGATCACAATGCAAACAGCAGAGGGCAATGTTGTACTAAAGTGAACAATCTGAAAAAAATCAGACATTTGTATCTTCCTATCTCTTTGCTGGCTAAATACAAACCTGTCTGTAGAAATAGATTTGAGTATTACAAGCGAGTGTTAGCATTTCTAGATTTCTATCTGTACAGCTTTACAATTTTAATACCTTATAAATTATATTTAGATTGCATTGAGCTCTTCAGAATAAAATGCAAGTTAAGCTGCTGTTCCTTTTTAGTATTTAGTTTCTTCAGCTTTTTTATGTATCCCACAGGCATCTGAGAACAGATGTTGTCAGTTTTGACAATGCAGTTGTTAGTATTTACAAGCAACAAAGAAGACATGTCCTCTTTTTCCATTTTCCTTTTGGAACGGGTGTTTTTGTTCACAAAGAGAGCTTTACGGAGGAGATTCCTGGGGAGCTAAGAATACTGGATTTTTAAGTATTGCTCCATGAGTTTTAACTACCAGTGGGATTTTAGTTTATATTTTAACCACTTGCCTAAAGGGCACTTGTACGCCTTCCTGCCTGGCCAATTTTCAGCTTTCAGCGCTGTCACACTTTGAATGACAATTGCGCGGTCATGCAACACTGTACCCATATGAAATTTTTATCATTTTTTTGAGACAGATAGAGCTTTCTTTTGGTGGTCACCAAATCACCTCTGGGTTTTTTATTTTTTGCTAAACAAACCAAAACCAAAATTTATAACAAAATTGGTGCTGAGCTCCCACACTTATATAAATAATTAAATCAAATAAGTGTGGGAGCGCAGCACCAATTTTGTTATAATGTTGATCCCATTCTATCCAGGTGTATAGCCAGGTGTAAG